GAGCCTCGAAGAACTCCGCCGAGATTGAGCGGGCGGAAGAATTAGAAAGAAAAAAGATTACAGAGCCATCCCCACCACCGGCGAGGAAGCATTCAAGACTGTGAGAGAAACAGGCTTCGGCATATTTTTCACATCTCCAACATGGCTGAAACCGATTCTTTCCTTCACCTTGCTCGCCCTCTGGGCCCAGTGGCAGTGGGGTCTGCACCAACCACCGCCCCTCTGAATGTTGTCATTCAGCCTCAGGTATGTCCTAGATACGGCTGGGGAGATGTTGAATGATGGGATTTACTCATCACCTTGTAACAGGCAATTTTCTCAATTCTCGACCATTCCCTCCGTCGCAATGCCGACCAGGAGCGTGTCATCGGTACCCTGCTTGGAACCAGGTCAGAGGATGGAACCGAGGTGGAAATTCGTAGCACCTTCGCTGTTGGACACACAGAGACGACCGACCAAGTCGAGGTGGATATGGAATACCAGAAGCAAATGCTTGCGCTGCACCTCAAAGCCAACCCGAAGGAGTTGCTGGTTGGTTGGTACGCCACGTCGTCCGAGTTGAACACCTTCTCCGCCTTGATCCAGAACTTCTACAGCGGCCAGGGCGACGGCACATGGCCTCATCCTGCCGTCCATCTGACAGTGTCTACTGAGCCTGGGAAGGATATTGAGACCCGCGCCTACATCTCCGCTCCCGTCGGTGTGACCGCTGAGAGGGCCGCAGACAGCGCCGCTTTCATTCCTGTCCCTTATGAGATTCGCTATGGCGAGGCCGAAAAAAGTGGTCTCGAGACTATCGCTTCCGCCAAAGACGCCGAAAGCCGTGCTACAAACATCTTCACCGATATCGAGGCTCTGGAGCGTGCCATCGAGGAGGTTCTTGGCATGATCGACAGAGTCTCCAGATACGTCGAGTCCGTCATTGATGAAGAAGCCCCCGCTTCGACGGCACTGGGCCAATTCCTCCTCAATGCCCTGGCCTTGGCTCCCAAGGTTGAACCCGCCGACATTGAACGTGACTTGTATGTTTTCTTTGCGGCCTCTTTTATTTTTTATTGGTTTCTTACGTTTTACTAACTGTGTTACAGTAACAACCACATCCAGGACGTTCTGGTCGTGTCTTACCTGGCCAACACCATTCGCACACAGATGGAACTGTCCAACCGGCTAGCTACTGCTCAGCTCACCTTGGGCGGAGAGGGCGCCAGTGCCGAGGCTGGCGCTCAGCGTGGCCAGAGAGGCGGCAAGGGCGGCCGTGGCGGACAGCAGCGTACTCAAGAACGAGCCACTGAGGAAACCCGCGCGTGAGGGGAATAAGGACATATTGTGAAGATACCTGCATTTTCTCTTCATACAGCTGTTCAATCCTTGTGATATTTCTTCCTATCATTATCTCTTTCCCCCCCGTCAGTCTTCTTATTGATGTGTGTCTGTTTTGTATCTCGTCCTGGGTTTGCTTTGGAAGTATTCTTCAGTTCTGGTGGCCCGGGTCTACATCTTCCTCTTTGTTACGCATGCTGTTGCCGGGTCAAGGCGAGATTTAGACATACGACGAGGCGACCAAGAGGTCCAACGAAGAAAAGCACGGCGTACAGGAGTCATTCTGGCTTTGCTCAGAGGGATAAATGGGGAGGAAATCGGGGAGATGAATATACACCCATGTGCGGGGATCGAGTTCCACGGCCCTTATTTTCTGGAGCAGGGAGGACCTTGGTCATAGTTGCGATGTAAACCGAATGTTTATGAGACGATCACTACCTCAGTGACTGTGTTAGTCATGACTCAATGGATATATGTGCTAGATAACGTGGATTGCTACGCCGCTTCGCCTAGCACTTTACAACGGGGTACTTAGCGTTTCAGAAAGAGAACCTCGTCAATGGTACAAAAAAGATGTAAAAAGAAGCAAAAAGATTACGACACCTCTGGGATTCGAACCCTATTGGGAATTGTTAGAGAAAGTTGACACTTTATAATGACGATGTTACTAACCAGGCGGGCGAACCCACAGGCTTAGCAGGCCTGCGCCTTAACCACTCGGCCAAAGTGTCAATGGGTAAGGAAATGGGGGTTTCTTGAAATCTACAACCAGAGCCCAGAGCAGACAATGGCATCTCTACAAGCGCAGGAAATAATGCGTTGGGAAGAGTCTGAATATAATGCATGGATCTGATTGCGATGCGTATAACTATTTGAAATGCTGCTCAAATCATCAAATCTGGATAACGTTGGGAGGATCATTGGAGGCTTAGCCACTGTAGCTAACAAGGGCTAGTCTATTATCTGAGAAAATTAGATAGGGTAGGAGAACGAAAAGTCGGGAGGAAATAAATAGACAGGAGGGGGAAAAAAGAAAGAAAGAAGAAAAGAAAAGAAAAGAAATTTACTGGCCACGCGAGATCCGAAGACTTGAGTGGCGTTGAATGTAGAAAACATCGGTCGAAGGGGCCCACTGCGGGTCCATTTTGGGAGCAACGGCAAAAAGGGAAAAAAAAAGAATGAGACGACACCTCTGGGATTCGAACCCTGTTGTAGATTGTTAGATACTTGATGTTTGATTATGCAAATATTATAGTAGAACATACCAGGCGGGCGAACCCACAGGCTTAGCAGGCCTGCGCCTTAACCACTCGGCCAAAGTGTCTAATGGTTAATTTGCCACTCAAAATAAAAATACTGAAGCCAAGCTCGCCATGTCGAGGATCGCAAAATGGAAGATTACTAATGTCAGGCTTGTTACCCAAAGAACTCGCTTGGGCTAGGAAGCCCTGCACCAGTATGGAGTAAGGTAGTTAACCCTCTAACGTTTTTAGAATCTAACTGAGGCTCGCAGCTTTTGTGCAGATTCCCCTGCCTTTACTTCCTTTTCTTCCTCTTTCCTCGGTGTGTAACCTGTGGGGTAGCGGCCATACTTGCAGTGCTATTGGAGTTTCTGGGGACGCTTAATCATGGTACGACAGTGTTAATGAGATCAGTCAAATAGCTATTCACACATTTCCTTGGGTACATTACACAAGTTTCCTGGCAGCTCCGGCCAGCAGTCCAAAAGTGACTAGTACCTAGGATTTGCCACGCCCAGTAGAGCAAGGAGTACTCCGTACATGAGGTAGTTGTGGAAGTTTCTAAGTTAAGAATTGGGGTCTGTCAAGCCGAGACCTCCATATACGACTATACACAATAGTATTTCCATCTTCGGACACTTTGGCCGAGTGGTTAAGGCGCAGGCCTGCTAAGCCTGTGGGTTCGCCCGCCTGGTATGTTCTGCTATGATAGTTGCATATACACCCCTCAGTATCTAACAATCTACAACAGGGTTCGAATCCCAGAGGTGTCGTCTCTATCTTTTTTCTTTACTCAATATTATTTTCCAGGCACTGCCATGACTTCTTTCCTGATATTGAAGTGGCATACTTGCGTTGAGGCTCGCCACCATAAGCGGTGACGCGCAGGCGCTACTGAGACATAGGCACAAGAGTCTGAGAAGCCCTTTCTTGATGATCATTACATACATCCCGAGCGACATACGGCCGGCGACAGTATCAGAGCTGCTTCTAAGCCGTCATAATGATAAGAAAGAAGCCAAGAAAAGAGGTGATACACAGTACGGGAGCTCCCTGGTGCGACTACTGATACACGAAGTCTCATCACTGGTACCCGCTCAGAGCAAGAGCATGTACATTGGAAACTCCCAGCTGCTTCCAATGATCCTTCGAGACAATGATTCTCACATATGTCGTGTGATTTGGGAGAAGAAATACGCCTTTCCTGGAGAGACACAGCCGGCTTTCCATCATCGCAAGCAACGTGAAAGTACCATCGACGGCCAAGATATTCAGCTGGACAAGGTCGTCGCAAATCAGCCTGACTGCTCAGAGCTTCCTCTTCTTCAGAATAGTATCCTCTGTAGCATCCGAATCCCTCCTGGAAGGTCGCTTTCCCTTGCCCTTGCCCTTCTTTCCTCCCGCTCCATCCGCACCGTCACCCAGCTCCTCAAGTCCCTTCTTGCCCGCATCCTTGAGATTTCCGACCTGATCGTCATTCTGATCAAATGCCTTACGAGCCTCTTTCAGCTCGCGCTCCATCCGCAAGAGTTCCTGGACACGACCGAGTTTATTCGGGTCGCGCCTCAACGCAAAACGAAAGTCGTCGACCTTGATCTTCTGGCGACGGGAGTAGCTAGCATACTGGGCTGCATTGTGGCACATCTCAAGGACAAAGTCGGTGACGATTTCATCAAGAACACGAACGGTCTCGGGGAGGGGCTCAGATGGGAAGGATGGATGAGGGCTGGGATCTCCATATGCCAGAAGAAGAAGACGCACTAGATAGCCCCGTATATTAGCTGCAGAAGCCCTTTGCACACGCGACATCATTTCGGTATTGAAAAGCGGTAAAGTAATCACGTACGCTCCGATGCAAAATTCATCTGACCCTTGTGCCTTGCAGCACGTGCTCTAGGCTCCGCCATGCTGGATGGATTGTTTCGATTCTGCCTTTTGTTTTTCTTGGAATCTGTTTCCGACGCAGGATCTTCCTGTGCAGCTAGGACTTTTGGTTTGAAGGCTGGAATATATCCGGAGCGTATCAGGGCAGTCTCCTGGGGGTTAAAAGGCCAAGGAGGAGCGAGTTCGCTCGGCACATGGCCAGAACTGCCGAATCGTGCTGGGACTGATGGCTTTGGAGTGCCTTGTTGCGGTCGCGAGGATCTTTCTGCTGTAAGAGACGACGAAGTATGAGGAGCCGCAGAATTACCGGCAGTGTTGTCGCTGCGGACATGGCGGTGTTTAGAGCGGTGAGCAGGATTCATGCCGGCAGGACTACCAAGGCGGTCAGAGCTGTTATCACTGTGATCTGCCCTCTTGTGTGAGAGAACACCAGACACAAGACTGGGATAGCCGTCCTCAAAAGCACGAACTGATTGATTTATCAATCGAGTAACTAGGACTTTTGCCAGAGTTGTGTGTAAGGAAGAAGGGTGGTGACCCTCTGCTACAGTCACGATGGTGAGTTTAAAATGGAGTGAATGCTCTCTACTTGAGGGCCTCACCATGGCGCACCAGGCTAGGGTAACGCTAACTGATGTCGCAGTCTGCCTTATTCAACTTTCAGTCACTTCTCCTTGTGTTCCTGCTTATTATTTGCACAAGCACTTATGCGCACTCCATCATGCCAGGAATCATGGACCGCAACCAGCGTGGGTAGGTTCTCAGCAATCCGTCGTTTCACTTGTCCCTACCACAGGTTACTCGGATATGACTGACTTTCGCACCATTCAGGTTCTTCGGGATATTCTGGAAGTGCGCTCGGATTGGAGAACGTCTAAGCCCGTACGTTAGCATTTGCTGCGTACTGATGGCGGTGAGTACAGCCCGATTCTGCGTCATCCTATCCAATGCATATTGGAGCTAACGCATGGTATCAACTTCAGGTCTCAATTTTCTTTGGTGGCTGAAAGATATACCTCAGCTCTATGGCTCATGATATCAAATTCCGTGGCTTCCCTGACTTGTCGGCGTTCATTCATTTCTCCACTTCTACCGGGATATGGAATACCATGCGTAGGGAGTTTGTCATGATTATTTCTAATGTACATACATCCGGCTGATAATTTACAAGGAATTTGTAGAAACGCTCTATATACCGATAGAAACACCCATGCTTTAGCTGTGACTCCCTGCCCTTGGAAGTCATCCAATCTTCCAGAACCCGCGCTTCTGATGCAATAACCATAAACAATGAGAAGAAAGACGTCAAAAGATGTAGGGGTATCTTTCATAATTTGGGCTTTAGTTTCTCCCTCAACCGTTTAAGCCCTTGGTCCAAAAGCTCGTCCCTTGTCTTTTTGTCGCTCTTTGAAGGTGCGAGTTTAGAGTCGGCAAACGTGGTGAGAGAAGGCTGTGATAGCTTGTCCAACTCTTCCAGAGCCACCCACAGTCGTTCAGGGTCTCGAAGGTAACGGAGAGCCTTCATGTTATAGGAGTCAATGACGTATCCCGCGTCCTCCATAGCTTTGATTGTCTGGGCAAGGTCAAAAACTCTTTGTTTGCAGGCGTAACCACTGATGATAATGTTCCAGGTGACCTTATTAAATTCAACATTATGTTCAGCCATCATCTCCTTCACTCTCTCTGCTGCGTGCGGTTGTTTGTTGAAGATAAAGCAACTCATCAAGATTGTCCAGGTTCGAACAGAAGGCAAGGCATGACCACTTGCTCGTTCGTGCATCGCCCGGGTATTGCTTGTTAGGGCAGATGTCTGCAGCATGTCTTCAACTACTCGCATAGCTGGCCGCAACCCCCGAGGATTGTCCCGAAACGCCACAAGGAACTCGTTATAGACGTGATCGGTTGCTGCTAGAGGAGCAATTGTGGGGTGTCCCTGCAGCACCAGGGAGCGAAAGTTCGTATAAAGGCGCTGAGCAATAGAGACACGCCTTCGACAGCGTAGATATGTTGCAATCATGAGGAATAAAGCGATCGTGGTCGGTGGCGTATTGTCACCTCCTGGTGGAGGCGTGTATTCAGGTGGTAAGATAGAAAGCTCCTTCAAAGGAGTAATATCATGTAGCTTGTTATACATCTCCAGCATGGAGTAGAACACCGCATCCGGATCGTCATCTGGATTTATATGCTTCGCAGTGAAAACGAAATGAGCATGAAAGATCTTACTCGAGATCCAAGGATTCTTCAGTAGCTCCTCGTTAGATTCGATCTCCCGGATCAATGAACTGACGCGGTCTCGATTCCCTCGCGCAACAGCATCATTGAGGAGGATCAAATGGGTGTAAGAGTCTGGTTCAAGGCCATTATTTTTCATATACTCCAGCATATCGAGCCCCAACTGCTCGTCACCTGTTTTGAAAGCATTGGACAAAACGACGTTCATCATATCCCGATCTGGCCGAACACCCATTTTGAGTAATTTGGGAAGAATGTAGAAATTTCGCCCTTCCGGCCCTTCTTGAACCGAATCAAGCGTGAGAAGCTTGCAGCAGTGGCGCATCACGCTCTGAGAATCCATCCCAAACTCAACCTGTTTCATTCGCCGCACGTTATCAAGAACGTCAAGTGCCTTATTGACGTCCTTGAACTCGATAAATCGCCACATGAAACAAAGATGGGTCTCCGCTTTAGTATGAATCTTTCGCTCACACACAAGTTTATAAGCATAGTAGATTGCGTCACGATCAGCGCGCTTCACATAAAGTCGAACGATTTTCTGCGGCAAAAAGAGAATTGGCCAATTGCGGGGGCCCAAGGCAGCATTGAAGACAGATTGATATGTGTGCGGCCCCTTTCTCCAGTCCTTGAGCCTGTCATAGTAAAAGGAGTCCAAGAAAAGGAAGGCATCTGCGACCATCACAAAGACAGGCCTCTCCTTGCCATGAGTGGTCACTGACAAGAATTCTAGGGCAAGCTCTGGAGACTCCTTCAACAACCATAAGGAAAGACTGTGCCAATGAAGGGCTTTGTCCCTCTTGCCTAACGCCTCCCAAGCCTCATGGAAACTGCCCTGACTATCCGTTTTGAGTTTCTCCAGGAGGTCCAGCTCGACGGGGTTCAGCTTCAAGTCTCTCAAGAACTCATTTCGGATCTCTCTTTCGTAGAATTTTGACCTGTACAGATCGCTTTGTGCAATCCTCCATGTGCGTATATTCGCCCCTTCGTGAAAGAAGGTCTGAGATCTGATGCACTTCTCCAGAGCCACAGTTTTAGGACGGAGAACTCTCTGTCTATCCCTGGGCTGACCCCTAACCATGACCTTGGTTTTGTAGATTATTGCTGGCGCCGGACCTGAGGTGAAGATACTACTCCGTCCTGGGATCGAAAGCAGGCGTTTGGAGCTTGGAAATCTCGGTCGTCGGCCCGCATATCCTCCACCTTGATCAGGAGCAACTAGCTCCTGTTCAGCACCAGGAGAAGAGCCCTCAAGCACTGTGGACGATTGCGACTCAATTAAATCAATCCCGGAGGGTGAACCGGCGCTGGAACTCTTATCGACGGCGGACGTTGTAGAGGATAATCTCCGAACTACATTTTTCCGACAAGGATCTTCCGGAATAGTATAGGGGGTCGTTGTACGGATAATAGCGGTATCAACGGCGGGAGGGAGCTGAGCTCTCGTATTCGACGCATCATTACTGGAATATAACGCTCTCGCGCCTTGAATGCCCGTCCCTGGTTGATACCATCTGTGGTGCGGATCCCAGGAAGGCAGTCCAGCGCTGAAGCGGGAACGAAGGAGACGCTGCGGACAAAATGACATTCAGTACTTCTTGATCGCGTACATTGATAAATTATTCCGAACAGGATACTAGCGAATCCTAGAAGCGATGAGGACGGCGACGAATCGGCAAGTGACAGTTTCATAGATCATTGCATGGATGGATCAATCCGCAGAAAATGCCCGCCAATTTTGATCCGACCCGGATGTGGCTAGTGAAAATTCATTGTGGCGCACCACTGCCGATAAATCATATGGATGTTATCAACACCGCAGAAAGCGATCGGGTACCTCTCTTCTTGTACCAAAAACTCAGAGACCTTTTCTTTTGTCGCAAAGTCGCATTGGGGCAAAATTAGCGAACTTATTACCTCTTTAATCGAAGCCAGCGGTATTTCTCGGACCCTGGAATTTTACTTACCATTGCTTTTCTTCTACTTCTTTCCCTCTAACACAATGTCGCTGAATCACACCTCTCTTGATGCGGCGGCAACAGAGCGCAAAGCCCGTCTTGCGAAGCTTGCAGCTCTAAAGAGGAAGCAACCGGAACCGGAGACACTCACAGAGGCGCGTGCTGGAGACCATGAGCCTGAGGATGCCGCTCCCGATGTCACAAGAAAATACCTCTCCGGACGCAATTTCGATGCAGAAACTCGAGGGCCCAAGCTGGGTTTTGATCAAGCGCCAACAGAAGGGGCGAAGACACTTGAAGCCCAAGCTGCTGAGATAGCGAAGGCTACGGCGGAGCAGGCGAAGAAGGATGAGGAGAAGGACCAACCGATCGACCTATTCAAGTTGCAGCCAAAGAAGCCTAATTGGGACCTAAAGCGTGACCTTGATGAAAAAATGAAAATTCTTAATGTGAGGACAGAAAATGCAATTGCGAGACTTGTTCGACAGCGCATGGAGAATGCGCAACGAGCAGCGAAGGCGCAGGGAACGACCCGCAACGAAGATGAGCAGGGAGAGGAGGTGGGCATTGAAGGAGACATGCTGGTGGAAGGAATTCACGTCCGCGAGAAGGAAGAGGAAGAAGAAAGACGAGAGATGGACGAGGTTTCATGATACCCATGAGAATTGGCGCAGGTTGATCTATGGACTTACATGCTTTTTTACCATACAACACATTACTTTGGCGCTGCAGAGCTGGGACTCGGGACGGTCAGAAACAGGCGTTAGCGGTCATCTGCATTTTGATTGCATGGATGTTAATGCAATTATGCTCTTCTGTATTACTATAGTACATTACTGGCTGGGGTCAAGAAAGTACAATATTTCCAATCCTGTCGAAAGGCCGAGAGGAAAATCTCCAAACTCTGCTTTACTCGACTTAATTGTTCCGACTCAGCGTTCCATGTTCATGGCCTGAGTGAGCGCTAGGCGCTTACTGTAAGGACTGAGGCTTCTTTCCTTTCGCGCTGAACCGGACATAGGTCCGCTGAAGGCATGATTGCGCTGGCGGTCCAGGTGCCTAGACGGGCTCATGTTTCCCCTCGACTCTCTTGTTGGATGGTGCCGTCCCTTCACTGTATCTGGAGTCGCCGACCGCCTTTCTTTGGCAATTCGGCTCTGATCCATACTTAGGCTTCGTGTCCTACCCCTCCGGCTGCCGTCTTCAGAGATGTTTCTAGGTCGACCACGCTCTTCAGGGCTAGATTCCCGACGTCTTCGTCTTGTGTTTCTGTCTGTCTCCCATTCCCTCGATCGAGAGCGCTGTCGCCCACCGGAGGAGTAAGAAGAGTCAGTATGGTCGGATAATGAGTCGTTGTATCGTCTCTTTCTTGACTGTGGTTGAGGCGACGACATTGATTGTGCTCGGTCTCGCCCCCTACTTTCAGTATAAACTTCATGCCGTGGCGGCGAGACTGAATGCGAACGACTGGTCGATATCGTTGAGACGGACGACACTGAGTGAGCTGACTCTGATCTACTCCGCTTCGGTGCATGATGACTGTCATCAAATGGATCTGAATCCCCTAGCTCCCTCTTCCGACCTCGTTCCTCTCCTCGTCTTGCTAATATCTCATCGGCGACACCTCTCCTACCACCGGCGTCAGCTAAGTTTTCCACACCCAATAACTCATGCGCCAACTTACGACCCTAACAGTTCGTTTGGAACATCAGTCGTCAGCTTCGGTCGCAAATTGGGGTTTTGCAGTTGTTGTGTGCGAGAAGGTCGAGTTGTATATGGCCGTTCCTGTGCAGATACCGTGCATTCATAACTGTAGTGTCGTATAAAGGAGTCAGTCAAAGGTATAATAGCCACGAGATCTATGTACTTATCTCGTTTCAAGCATTTCTGACACAGAGTACTGGCAGTCGCCTTAGTAGGGCCTCTGATGCCTGGTGCGTTCCGGTATCGATTCATCTGGATCAAATGATATGCCCACCCGAAAAAAAATCGAAAAAATAATAATTGTACGAATGTGAAAGATGCAATCTTAAAGATGCCGCAAAAAGTGCTTTAAAAAGTATTCAGTCTCTCATCACTTAATTGACGAAGCCCAATTTTTCGAACACCGCAATCGCGATTCTCCGCGGCTATTCAAGCGGACCTGCCAGACAAGTGGGCCAGAGCGACTTACATACGCGCGCGGTTAAGCGCACCACTGATAGAGGAGACAAGAAGCGAACCCCAACCTGATCATCGCCTGCCTCGTTCCTTCTCAGCCCAAAAAGACGAAAAGAATTCAACCTATTCACCTTCCAGTACTCCATCGACTATCTGGGGCTCTTTATGACCCTCCATCTTTATTAGCAGGGTAATCGACCTCTCTTTGACCCGCTCCGATCTGGGTTGGACTGGGTTTTTTAGATACCCGTGGTGGGAGAAGTTGTGTCTCCCTTTGCCGAAATATTATACCAGAAAATCATGAACCAGACGTTTTGACCATCGTGTAAGAACAGTCAATATCCTGTCCGTTGCTCTTTGCCTCGCTTTCCCTTCTTTTAGAAACTCGATGATTTACAGGGCACAGCTCATTATGCACGCAATATATCTGACGTTGAACAGCTTTCCATATGGCGAACTCCCCTTTTCAGAGATATGTCGTCATTCTTTTTGGGCTTGTGTGAAGTGGGATTTTTGAGTGGCATCTTCTCAATTCGAAATTCGGTTTCGTCCTGTTGAAAATCAAGCAGAACTCGCAGCATATTGAAGCAGTCCGCAGCCTGTTCCCCGGAGTCTTTTCCGAATCAGTACAACTGTACTTGTTTGAAGCGCACGTCGAAGAAAGACCTCTCGAAAGAAGGGGTTTCTGGCTAGTTTGAGGATTTTAGCATGGTCATGGCCTCGGAAAATTCTACAGAGGCTGAGCATCGCCTCTCTTTCGCCAAGGTATGTCCTGATCCAGGTGAAGGCGTCACGGCGTGTCCGAGGGCCTCTGTTTCTCTAATGATTATAATAGATAGCCGCAATGGCTCCGCCATCGAAACCAGAAGAGCTCGGGTCAGGCGAACGAAATGATTCACAGAACGCGGAAAGGCTTTCATGTCCAGACAGTCTAGCGCGAGCTGTACAAGACGTCCATATAACAGACAGTAGTGACAGACAGAGCCCCAGCTTTACTTCAGAAGTCGATGAACATGGAGCTCTCAAAAGGGAGGCGTCCTTTGACGATGATCGTACGCATCTCTCAACGTCCTCAACGAAACAGACGAGTTTCGATTCGAAGAGCATGGCCTCAGTTACCACCTTCGCAATGGATGAAAAAGATTCTTTGCGACCCGACGATAGCGCCAGCGTACAGGCTGTTGATGAGGAAGAGTCTCTTTCGGGACCTGCATCGGGAGCAGCGAACTCACTTACGGGATCCGAATCTGGTGTCCGCATATACAGGGATCATCCGCGAGACTTTAGTAGCCAAAAGCCCCGGCCAGTTGTGCTTGCTGATGGTGGCCAGCGACCGGATGGGATAATTCACCCGGACTCCGTCGCCAATAATTTTGCCCTGCCTAGTAGTGCAGAAGGCTTCTCAGTTGAACACAGTTTGAATGGTTTCCCTCTCGAGCCGGACGAAAAGCTGCTTGAGGCGATGAAATCTCCAAAGGACCGCCTACTGATTCTTCAGCTGGAGGAGAAAGTCCGCAATTTCATTCAAAATTCGAAGTAAGTGGACTCCTAGTTGATCGTTGCGCTGTTCGTTTCCGCATCTGACGTTCTAATGTAGGGAGCAATCTCTGGAGCTCCCACCTTCGAATGCCTTCGGAAGACTACTCGCGCACAAGTTGGGTGATTATTATCATTTGACCCATTTCGTGGATAACAACGTTACGTCTGTCCGTCTCCATAGGACACCCTTTTGCCGATTGTATGTAATCCTGCGTCTCATTGATTTTCTTTTACCAATTTGAGACTTCGTTCTGACTGTTTAGACCGACTCCGCTCTCCGTTTTACATGCTGCCACTCATAGCACCCCACCACCAGCAGTCCCAGCCATGAAAATCATGCGCCGGAATGACGGGGATCGGTTTTCCACCGAAGGAAGCACTGCAGCAAGCTCTTCGGTGCCTTCAAAGACCGCATCGGAGGTAGGCGACAGTGGCAACGACGGCGAACGTGGTTCTTCAGCTGGGGCCACCCCTGCCAAAGATAGGATGGCCTTAACGCGAGAAGAGCGAGAAGCTAAGTACCAGGAAGCAAGAGAGCGGATTTTCCGCGATTTTCCTGAGACGAAATCCTCGGATATCAGTGACCAGGGGACGAGTATGTCACGCTCGAGCTCAACAAGTGGACGCAAGAAAACACACCGACAGAAGACTCCACATGACGACAGCTTTGAGGCCCGCTCTCAATTCAACGCCTACTACCCGGGAATGCAGTATAACAATGGGACGGTTCCCTATAATATGGCACTGAATGATTCTTCATTTTCTAACCAAGCCCCATATATGGTAGGGCCCGGAATGTCTCCTCCGGGTTATGCTCAGGGTGCTCCAAACAGTGCCATGTACCCCAACCACGTCAATCTGAATCCCTTACCTCAATACTCGATACCCGTCTCTCCTCAGATGACATCAGGTTCATGGCAGAGCGGCGCTGTACCCCAGCAATCTCCTTATTCAGGATACACAACTATGAATCAATCACCGGTGATGGTCACCCAGCAATCGTCGGCGAAGTCATCGCCTGCGCTGAACAACTACACCATGGCACAATATGCGCAGACGCCGTCGACTTGGTCGTCGTCCCCGTATGCTGCGGGCTATCAGCCTACACATCGCACCCATCCCACCGCTCATTGGCCGAATTATCCCTCGCAGCCGCCTAATCCGACTTCTTATCCCTATGCTCAATATCCAGGGCAACAATCACTAAACACAGCCATGCAAGCTCATCCAAACGCGCACCCTCTGCCAGGCAGTTTTGCAAGATCCCCATTCAATCCTCAGACACGCTCATTTGTACCCGGTGGGACTTCTTTGGCTCGTCACCCGAGCAAGACCGGCCAACACAATATGAACTCGTATCCTCCCATGCAGCCCGGTATTCAGACTCAGTGGAATGGATATCAAGACCCGAATAACAAGGCTCAAGAGGGAAGTGCGATGGCGCAAGGCGTGACGCGGGGTGGCCCTCCCGGTAGCAGAAATTCCATCGCAAAATGGGGAACGCCTTCTCATTTGCCTCGAAAACCACCACCGTCCGAGATCCCCTCTGACTTCGAGTTGAAGCATCATATCACTCCTGCCCCATCGCACTCCTACAATTCCAACATACTGACCAACTCCAAGAACGGACCTCTTGTCGTTTCGGGAGGGACAAGTCTTCCCAAGGTGAACTAAACTCTGCCGCCCGACGATCTGGTTGCATGCTGGTGCATCGTGCAACCTGTGTGTCTCTGGCAGATAGTAGTGTGGAATAGGCTGAGAGAATGTTTGCTCGTTCAGACCAACAACATAAAAAGGAGAGGAGAAGGGAGTCTCGCTATGAGTACGCAAATAGTTGGCTTCATACACCTGCTGTCTCGTGGACGGACTGGCTGAGAAGGGCTGGCTTGCCATATTTTCGGCTATTGATGGTATCGCCCATTTCAATTATTGACAAAAAGAAGATGAAAATACTTTCCAGAGACATAAACCATGGCGCTACCAAATGGAAATGAGTTTCAAAATTAACGGGTTCACTATGATTGTAGCGACGCTTCCGCGCGGTCAATAGCCATCCCTCTTTCAACCGAAATTGATCAGTCAAGCGCTCTTTGGAATCATTGCACCAGGATAGAAAAGAGAAAACGACGATATAGTGACTTCTTCTAGTAGATTACATGAGATCAATACCGACCTAAGCACTTTCGTGAGAATGCGGAATCAACTTCCAAATATACAGGCATTCTGTTCCAATCGATGCCAAGAGAAAAAGGGCATCATATGAAGGACACAAACTACAGATACAAATACAATAATCATCACAGAGCAGTTCCGAGCGCACCAAGATCGATAGAGAGAAGTACCGATGGCCCAACTAAGCCCTTGTACCTGAGAAATTCCTCCTGTTGGCCATTGGAACTGGTCCGGCGACAGGGCCTATTGCTTGGACTCCACCTCCTGTTCGCCTTTTTGCGTCGTAGGGCCTTTCTTCTGTTCGATTTCTAACCGCTTGATCGCCTGTTCCAGGTCCTCGACACCGCCTTTCCGGAACCTTGTCACCTTGTGAACATTCAGGGTTGTCAGCTCGTTGAGAGTCTCGAGGCCCTGTGCTCGCTGTCTCGCAACGGTCCGAGCTGTCATGGCAAATCGCATATCCTTCGGTCCGTCAACAAGCTCGAGGATGGCGCTAGGGGCTTGATCATCTTTCTTAGGCTCGACCCGCAGAACTCGTGTGTAACCACCAGGACGTTCGGCGTAGCGCTCACGGAGGGTCCCAAATAGTTTTGGAAGGATTTCATGGGGTGTCTGGTGATGAAGTTAGCCAGGAGTTTCTCAAAGTCTTCGAGAGAAGCTGTTCTGTGGTCCCTCAGACGAGGGAAACCGAAGGCCAATGAGGTTCCCGGTCTCCCCCGAGGACTTTTTGACCAGAATTGACAGAAAGGGTCAGCAGGAGCACATACATAGAAAATAGACAATGCTCTTCTTCGACTAGCCTCCGTATTCTTCTTGCCCAGGGTTATTAACTTCTCGGCCAGCCGTTGAGCCTCCTTCGCTTTGGGCCAGGTTGTTGTGATAGACTCGTGCTTGAAAAGCGATGTGACTAAGTTTCTGAGCAAGGCCTGTCGATGTGACGACTTGCGGCTGAGATGACGGTACTTAGCAGCACCACCGGCCATGGTGACAGCTGTTTTGGGGAATCGTTATGGTCCTGGTTTTGGTAGTCTCTTTTTTGTCGTTGAAATGCCCTGAATCCGAGCACAAGAGGAGTCGGGCAGGAG